TTCGATGGAGCGATTGATGCTTGGCGTGTCTCTTCGAACTGTCACATGAAAAAATAAATTCGACGGTCAAGGCAGGCTGCTGCCTTGCCGACGGCCAGTGGACGTCACGCATTAGCATGTGGTAGCTACGAGAAGGAAAGCGACCACTCAGTTGACCTCCGAGGGGGCAAAGCACTTACGCTGGACAGGCGGTGGGTATTAACTGGAGATATGAAGCCCAAGTTCGAACGGGATCAGTATAGTGATAATACTTACATGGGATATCCGCGCCGTCCATTCGAACGGCCTCAATTTTCTTAGTATGTGTAGAGTTTTGCACCTAATAAATTTCGTATAGTTCGATGTGAATGTTTTTCGTTGCAGTTGTGACGTTTTGACGAGTTTCGGACAAATGACTCAGTTTGCTCGGATGGGCGAAACTGCCTCCGAGCACACCTGCGATGGGCTTTTGAAATTGAACACAACTTTGAAATATGAAAAAAGCTTTTCAGTCAAACTCTTAAAAGCCGTCCTAGATGCATTATCACCTCCTATGCATACTGCACTTCCGTAATAAAAATTTTCTGTTTTTTTGCGCAACTTCTCATTTGCTCTTCGGCTGCATTTTCCGGTTTCGGAGAGCAATACGTAAGGTGCTAACCGATTTTTGCGCCGTTTTCTCATCAGATCTTTCCATTTTTTAGCCTTCCAAGATGAGTGTACGTGATGAATTAGATTCTGTTTTTGTGCTAATTCTAAATGATTTGATGGAAAATGCCTCATACAAACTGCATTTTTTAATAAAAAGTGCCAACATTTGCGCGTTGGTAGGTCGCTCATTGGTTTTAGCCCTCCCAAGCACTAATCGCTTCCTCTCTTCCCCTTTCTTCAGATGAAGGAGCACATGAAGTCTGCGTGAAGTATTGCTGCAATCAGTAGAGAATGTCTGGCTAACTACAATGCTTTGACTGTTAGCAAGGCTGTGCTGAATTTCTAGCTCATTTTTTCGAGATCAGCTGATAAGCAGCTGGAGGACCTTAGAGCTTAGGATTGTAGCTTTGTTTGATTCTTGAGTTACAGCATGTACCCGAATTTGAATTTAAAACCGAATAGAGGAAAAGAGATATTAATAAGTTTGAAAATACTACATACTGCTTGTTCGTGGTACTGCAAGATACTGTCAATATTATATGCTAGTTTCCTAATTTTTATTGCTAAATTTCTTAATTTTCAAGTAAGGCTTTTTGGGTAGCGTTTATATATTAAAAATATTACGTAACTGGATGCTTGAATTAGTTGTAATTTACAGTGCTTTTCTTTAGTTATGCAGCTGGCAGCATTTTCGATCGCTCTGACCAACGCTTACATTGCTTTTTGGTCAGTCTGCTAGCGACTCCGTCGATTTTTCGTGATTTTTTTGTGAAATTGGTAGAAACGTGAAAATGAATGAAATGCGCAATGACTGAAGATGCTGTAATTTTATCCACATATCGGAAATACCTAGAACAGCTGCTAATTTACTGCTTGGTTTCTCGATTATGCAGCTAGCAACTTTCCAGTTGCTTTGACCAGCGCCGCCTTGCCTGGTGATCAGCCCCCGTGCTGGCTATCCAGACCGTTCCATCCACATAAATTCTCGAACAGATTTGGTAAGGGAATTGTTAAGTGATTAGGAAAGGCACAGATGATTGAGTCTGGAGGAGAAACACAATAAATCAGGCAACGTTGTGCTGGCCGCCAGAAGCGTCATGTCCATCCATCGACAGGGCACTTTGGTCCGCCGGTAGCAGGTAATTCCTTAAGTTGACTAATTGGTGTCTGCCGCTTGTTGTGTAAAGACGTTGCTTCGTAGTTTCGCAAAATTTACAGCATCAA